GGATCATGCGGGTGGCCCTCCTCTGGACCCTCTCCATGTTGTCCACATCCCTCTTGAAATGGGGCGCACAGAACTGGACACAATACTCCAGCTGTGGCCTGACCAGCGTCGCGTAGAGGGGGAGGATCACCTCCTTGGCTCTACTCGAGATGCACCTGTGGATGCATGACAAGGTCCAGTTAGCCCTGCCAACCATGACCTCGCATTGTCGGCCCATGTTCATCTTGGAGTCAATAATGACTCCAAGATCTCTTTCTGCCTCCATGCTCTAATGACTCCAAGATCTCTTTCTGCCTCCGTGCTCTGGTCTACCACAGCATGTAGGACAGCACCTTTATGGGCCATAAAGTCATCTTTATGGCCCATATTTTGTTCCCCAACTTGGAACCCTCACTTCATTGACATTAGCTAAGCAACATGTTTCATGTGTTTTTATACTATATCCTTGGATTAGAGTTGATGTGAATCTGCCTTTTCTACAATTAGAGCCAAACGTGTCCAATCATAATATCTGTCATACACACTCTCTCTGGACTGCAAGCTTACATTTTTCACATGGTCTTACTGCTCATTCCATTCTTTGGCCCTAGCAACATGCTAGTTTAGCCTTAAACTTTTCCTTTACTTTCAGAAATGAGGTGAAAAAATGTCTGTCTCACAAAATTTATATGCTAGCTTTCAAATAGGTGATGTTTAAGCATGTGTAGACCAGTTCTTTTAGGATCATTTATAGAAGGGCAGTTCCAGTTCCAGCACACCCATGTCTTCTGTTCCTCTCATAGTTAACAAGTCATTTAACATTATGTTGCTTTTTTATCTCATCTTATCCTTTTTAGGACTCAAAAATCTCCTCCATGGAGCGAGGTCTCCGGGATTTGGAAGAGGAGATCCAGATGCTGAAGTCAAATGGAGCTGTGAGCACGGAGGAGCGGGAGGAGGAAATGAAGCAAATGGAGGTGTATCGTAGTCATTCCAAATTCATGAAAAATAAGGTAATGAGAAAAGTGATAGTAATCATGACCTCTCTAACTATTAGGGAAGAGATGGGAAAAGTATTTATACTTAGCTATTCAACCAAGGATGTAGTTGGGACTTGCATATTACCCTAACCACTTGGAAATGGTGCAAAGGTATCTACACTTGGCTTTGAAATGGAATAGCCTCATGATTTTTAAGAGAAACTAGGGAATTGTATGCTCAGTAGGAAGAAGGGCCAAATTCTGCTCACTACTTCGGTTGACTTGGTTGCAATTTTTTGTGCATCTCTGGGCCCTTTATAATCCTTTTAATAGGATTAGGTTAATTTAGTCTAACAGGCTTTTTAAATATACTTTATAGAAGGAAAAAACTATTTCTGTATGAGCTGATGGATCATTATGCTATGACCAAAAGGATTAACATGATTTCAGTGTTGTTTTGAGCATGAGTGCTTAGGTTTCTATTGTGTTGTCCTTCCAGCAGTGTTGTCACAGGACGGACAGATTCCACGGTAGCACTGGTGGCTAGATGATTTTATGCATTTGGGGATGTTTGTATGCAGGTGGCATTGGGAAATCCTTGTCCTCAGGCACAGAGGTGGCACAAATAAATTACTGTACTGTGTAGAATTTACAGTTGATGTATACTTTACTTCTACTGGATTCTTTGGAGCTCTCATCACTGCACTGAACTGATTTGTTTTATGCTTATAGTTTTCACTTACTGGAGAGTGTCGAACACAACTATTGTATCATCTTAAAGAAGAAATATACATTAATAAGATTTAATAAGACTTGTTAGTAACCTTCCACTCAATCCAGCTTAATGATTTACTCCAAGAAAAACTTTTCTCCTTGCATCCTGTTGAACTATCACTAGAAACTGAATACAAAACCTCCCAATATTAGGAATATGAAAAGACCATTTAAATTGTCTTCTACCTTATGTCTGCTACTAAATTGTCTACTATTTCATGCCTCACCTTGTTAGCAGTTTGCTTCTCCATCCCTCTCTTTAGGCCTAATGAACACATTCTCCTTTGGTTTATTTCTGTACTGCTTCCGTCCCTTGTGCTCTCTCTTTTCCTGCTGACAACTTGCTCCCTAACTCTAGTTGATTTAACAGCCTGTTCCCCCTTGTGACTTGTCCAGCTCCAATCCTGATGTCTCAGCCATACCCTGCAGTCCTGTCTTGTTTTATAAGTACACAGAATCATCTTTTTAATAAGATATTTTGTTGGCATCAGTAGCTGCCTCAGCATAACTTATCCCTCTAAAGCCAAGGATTTTCTCTTGCTATTTCTGCCTGAATTTTCTATTTGTTTCTTATTTCAAAATGGTTGTACTATGTGCTCTACAATTGAAATAATAGCTGCAACCACATTTGTAGTGTCAGTTTTTGCAAGGATGATAATGAAACTCTTGCCTGAGGACTTGACAATACAGTGACTTTAACCCCCAGAGATCTTGACAGAGAAGGGAATGAAGAACCAATCTTGACCTTACTATTTAGTTTTTAATTAGTTGTAATCACTTTGTTGGCTGAAAGAGGTCAGCTAAAATATGATAAATGTTGAAATTGAAAAGAATAACAATGTCGTGGCAGGTAGAGCAACTGAAAGAAGAGCTAAGTGCCAAAGAGGCTCAAGGAGAGGAGCTGAAAAAGAGAGCGGCTGGTCTCCAAGCTGAGGTCTCTGCTGTAAGGTTTCTCTCTTTGTGTGCAGTGGCCATTTGCTGGGGCTTTGCTAGCTCTATGACCTTCTGGGTAGCTTACGCTTCTCTTACAATTTGAGTCTTTAATACTAGAACTAACCAGTCTCCCCTACTGTGCATCTGTCTCTTGTTCACATCCTCTTGGCATCTGTAGCCTCACTGTTTAAAACACACTCTGACTACCCATATTTACTCTCTGAGACAAAGATTCTGCTTTAGTGATGATTTCACAGATGGGCAGCGTTTCTAAAGTGCTTGGCACCCACCATTAGGCTCAGATTTTCAAACGATGCAATGCTTCATTTAGGGATCAAAATAAACAGCCAGTTTTTAAAAAAAAACAAACATGCTCACCTGTCTTGTAAATGTGTCCATAACTATAACAGTTTAAACTGGTGCGTACTAAGTACTTTTTAAAATTGGCCTTTGGTTAAGTACTTAACAAAGATTTGAGTGCTTTTAAAAATCTGCCCCTGTGTTGTGTTAGCAGTGTATGTTAAAACTTCTTCTTTTTCTAAATACTGCATGTGCTGGGTGATCAGTGTGCGTCACAGAGGAGAAAGATATGAGCACTTAATGCTGCCTTTAACTTTCTGTGGAGCTCTGAACACTATCATATTCTTTCCCAGAAACCTTGAACATAGGGGCTTTTTGGGCTTGCAGCTCATATGTTGAGTTTCTAGATCCAGTGAATTTAAGGTTTTGCCTGGGACTTTTAATAGTTTGTACTGTCCTTATATATAAGCAAAACACTTTATCTGTTTAAAATATCTGTGATTAAAAAGGTGTAGAATTTCGTTTCAAAATGGATCCAACATGTCTTTTCCTAGTCTATGTGTGGCTTTCTAATGGGAGAAGTTTATCTGTCTGTCTAGACAGATAGATTAGATATAGATACGTAGGGAAAAACGGTACACACACACACTTTTTTTTTTTGGTTTAGAGACTGCATAAAACTGAACTATCCCCAAATACTACAGTCACTTGCTTTTTCTTGTGGTGTGCCTAAGGATACTAACATAGCTGTGGGGGTTGGATTAGGAGTTCCAGTGTGAGTAGTTCACAGTAGAAGCATAATTTGGATGCTACAATACACACTTGCATATTGCTCTGCTAAATGAAATGGAATTTTTTTATTGGAAGTTTTTGATAGTAGTAAACAGAATTAAAGTTAGAAATAGACTGTCTCATCTCCAGTCAGAATTAAGTAAATAACATTTAATAATTCGGTAAAGGAAATTCTCTTTATCTCCCCTCCATTTTATCTATTACAAAAGGGTAAAAGTCATGTTATGCTGTTTTCAGTTTCTACACATATACACATGCAAAATGTTCCTCCCTTTTCTCTGTCTCTCTCTCTCTCACTCGCTCTCTCATATGTCATTTTATAATGGAATGCAGCAGTGTTTGGTGACATCATTTGGTGCTAGAAAAACTAACATCCTCTGGTAAAGATGTACATAAAAGCAGTGCTTTAGCAGAAAGACATAGGAATTAAACTCATTGACTTTGTTCCTTCCATTCATTACTAATATCACCTTATATTATTACAATTATATTTTATCATTCATGCTGTTTTTTGTGAATGTTACTCATTTTGGCGGGGGCAGGGGATCTGATTTTTTTTTTCATTATGTCCTTCAACTTTCTGATTTGCACATATTTAACATTATGCTAATAGACTTGGGTTGCCAGCACCACAGAGGAAGTTGTTTGCAAGTTGGTTAAAACATTTCTGTATATATTTGATTTCACAGTGAACTATACATTTTTTGGATCAACCTGTTAATTGCCATTTTTTGTTGGAAAGTGGGGAGGCAAATTCTAGGTTTCTAATCAGACCTATTGTATATGTCCATCTTAAGGCTCAATGCATTTCTCATTAAGCATGTACACTTGTCCTCAAGTCTGAGTCAGTGTGTCTGAGATGGTGATTGTGTTTAGATTGTGGTTTAACACCATCTCTAAACATACCTTTGAAATTTTTCATTATTTGTGCATGAATAGGACCACACCTTGGCTGAAACCTATGGAAGTGTTGTCACAGACTCCAGTGGACTTTAAAAGTGAAAAGTGATCTTCACTACAGGGCAGGTTTCAAACAGATTTTTTGGGAATGAAAAGTGGAAATTTTGGTATCAGTTATTTCATAACATATTCGGATCAACTTCAAGAAATTTCTTTTCCTAGGAGGGGTGAAATTGTAGTTTCACAAAGATTGTGACAATTAAAGGCATGTTTCAATGATGTTCTTTGCAGAGATGCAATTGGGATAGTGATGAGGGCAAGAAACCTGTTGTAATTGCCCTGGAAAGGCAAACACACCTTCTAAGGAGAGCACCCTAAAGCATACGAAATATATCTGATTTGTTTAGGTCTACAAGAGGCCTAATATTTGTACATATCAAGTACATGTCTGCTTCATATTCAGTAAAAAACTGCCTGGCAAGTAACTAATCATGGCTGGCAACGTGAATGATGGCTGAGGATGGGTTTCACCCATTACTTGTCTGCTCTTCTTTTTTCTGATATCCAGTGTATGATGTGAAACCCAACCTTGTAGATACGTGAAGTCTTTAAAGTTCTGTGGTGACAATCTTTAAAATAGTATCCTTTTAATTGGTAATTGGATGAATACTAACTTTTCATTGCAGTTTTAAAGGTTAGACTGTTAATTCTCTTTTCTCTTCCTCTTGTTGGGTTTCTCCTTTAGATTGGTCAGGTGAAACAGGAGCTATCACGTAAGGACACAGAGCTGCTGGCTTTACAGACGAAGCTGGAGACCCTCACAAACCAGTTCTCTGACAGCAAACAGCATATTGAGGTGCTGAAAGAGTCTCTTACAGCAAAAGAGCAGAGAGCAGCCATCCTGCAGACAGAGGTGACACAAGCAATTTTGTACCTGTTAACTGTTTTGTGGGGAAATACAGTATGGGTTGGGTGACCTATTTCTGTATGGTTTCTTGCTTTGGAAATAGAGTACATTCAAAATTATTTTCTCTGAAGAAGCTTGCCATGCTCAGTGACTCTCAGCTGGGGTGATGCAGCACCCCCTCCTTTTAAGGGTGCCCTACTGCTCCTCCCACCAAGTGGAGCTGCCTCATTGCTCCTCCCTGCCGTGTCCTGCTGGAGTCCCCATGCTCTTGTTTGAACTCTGTGCAGCTCCCAGGCTGCTCGCACCTCAGTACCCCGTTGCCCTTCTCCTTACAGAGCTGAGCACTGGTGCTTGCAGCTGCTGCTTCTGTTGCTGGCTTCACTCCCTCAGCAGGTACTTTATAGCTCATGGCCAAACCTACCCCAGGAAAGTCCATAATTCCCTCTTGCATAATGACAGCTCAGAAGCAGCCACAACAAAGCTACTTCTGTGCTTCCCTGGCATCTGCAGGGCTTGCTGGCACTGAGTCCAACCACCCTCTCCCTTTTGAAGCCAGGGCAATATCCCTGTGCTGGCACGCTGTATCCCTACATCACAAAATGACTGGCATTGAATGGACTAGACAGCGTGGCTCCCCAGACCTGCCATGTCCAAATAAGCCTGCTTTGGTAGGAGGAGCTGGGGACCCTAGTTCCCTGAAGTAGTGACTTGGGCTCTCCCCTATGGTTGGTCCCTGGGGCCAGCAGGATGTTCAGTCAAGCAGCAGGAGCCGGAGGAGAGGTGTGTCCTTGCAGAGGAAGTTCGAGTCCTCTGGTGATCTGGGAAGCCTGTTTCTCTGGGGGTATGGGGTGTAGGAATTCAATGGGGGGTAATTTAAGCCACAAAAGGCACTGCCCTGGCCAGTGCCACATACTGAGAGAGAGAGCCCTCAGCAGGATGGCAGTGGAGAGTCCCAGCAGCAGGACTCTGCCTTTCATCACTTGAATTGCATGAGGGGGCTGACACCTCCTAAGGGGTAGGTGTGCTTAGGGAAAACAAGCATCTCCAGAAGACCCATTTATTTCCACTGCCTGCTTCTTATTGTTTTCTAATTTTAGAAATGCAGCTGAAAACTGGGTCTGGGAGGGAGAGAGAGGGCATGTAAGGCAGGGAAGAAAATCATTCTCAGCAGCGTTTTAAAGAATAAAAATAAAGCCAAGCTCGACTAGCCTGCCTTGCAGACAAGGACCCTGGTCTTCATAGAGTGAGAGCTCAACACTTCTGAAAAATCAGCTTTAACGTGTCTCAGCTGAACCCTGTAAAAAGTGGAGCACCTAAAACAGCAATTTTCATCTAGGGTGCCCCTGGGACGCATGGCTCCAGGCAAAGGCAGAGGGGTATGTCTCCCTTGCGCAAAGCAGAGGATCGGCTCCCTCTGCCTGCACCCACAGAGCATTCTGCTAAATACAAAAAAATTATGCAGTAATGCCTTGAATATGAAAAGGTTGAGAACCACTGCTGTAGTCTGTTTCCTGGGCTGGGGACAGAAGTTACACATAAACAGGTTTAAGTGATTAGGAACTGGTTTAAATCTGTAACAGAAGTTCAGTACGCTTAAACCGCTTTCAAAGTGGCTGAAACTGAGTTAAAATAAACCTGGATGGATGTAGACTTAAATGATTTATGTCAAACCAGTTTATGGAACGTCTGTCCCAGATCCCCTCCTGGTTCAACTTAACTCACAGTCCTCCAGCATCCCAGGGTGCTGTGCAGCCCCAGGCTGTGCTTTCTGCTCCAACAGAGCAGGGCAGCCCGGCCTCCAGTTGTAAGGCGGGGGAGGGAGTGGGATTCCCCAGCCCTGGTCCCCCCTTGGCCAGGGAGAATCAGCCTGGCTCCCAGCAGGGGTGGAGGGAGTACAGCTCCACTGTGGGCTTCCCCCCTTGCTGGCAGGGGGAGTAAAGACCCCACTGGAGGCTCTACCCCATGCTGGGCACAGCCCGGCCAGGGCTCTGGAATGAGGGGAGGGGAGGGAGAAGGTGGCTGTTTCCCCCCCACCCCCAACTCCCTTCTCAGTCTGCCCACTGGCCAGAGAGGAAGCATGGCCAGGTGATTGTCCTGGCTTGGGTGCGGGGAGTAAAGACCCCACGGTGGGCCCCACCCATTCTGCACTAGGCACAGCCTGGCTGGGGGTCCAGAGCCAGGCAGAGGGGTCCGTCTTTCACCCCCATTTCCTTCTTAGTCAGCCTGCCAGCCGGGAGCAGGTGTGGCCGGGTGATTGCACAGGCTCGGGCTGGGGGAATAAAGTCTCCACTGCAAGCTTCCCTGCAGCCAGGAGCCAGGGCGATCACCCACCATGCCTCCTCCTAGGCCAGAAGATCAGCTGAGGAGGGAGTGAGGAGGAAAAGGGGCCCCCTCACCTGGCTCTGGGCCCTGGGGGGCAGGGGTAGGGGGCCATTTTACCTCCCATTCTCTTCTCAGCCAGCCTGCCAACCAAAGAAGAAATATGGCCAGATGATCGCCCCAGCTCCCAAAAGTGGAGAAGCTCACAGTGGGGGCTTTACTCCCTCTACCTAAGCCAGGAGCTGGGATGATCACCCAGCCATGCCTCCTCTGTGATCAGCGGGCCAGCTGAGGAGGGAGTTAGCAGGGAAAAATGGCCCCCACGGTCAGCTTTCCTCGGCCCCCAGCACCAAGCACTGCCCAGCTGGGGGTCCAGAGCCAGGCAGGAGGAGGTACATTCCCCCCCCACCACTCTCTTCTCAGCCCAAGCCAGGAGTTGGGGTCATCATCCAGCCACACCCCCTCCTTGGCCAGCAGGTTTACCAGGGAGGGAGTGGTGGGGGAAAAAGGCCTCTGCTGCAAGCTTCTCTCCCCACAACCCCCTGCACCCAGCATAGCCCTGCTGGGAGTCCAGAGCTGAATGGGGGGGCGGGGGCACGTTCTTCCCACACCCCCCACAGCCAGCCAACTGGCCAAGGAAAGGACAGCTGGGGGTCCAGTGCAGGGTTGGGGTGGCCCCACAGTCCCTCCTCAGCCAGCCCAGACTGAGGAGGGGGCATGGTTAGGGGGACCACATCCAGCACGGTGTTGGAGGGGAGGTCAAAACATCCAGCTGGGGGCTTTTCCCTCTTCCCCCCTTCCCCAGTGCTGGGGAGACCTCAGCTGGCAACCTAGTGTGGGGGAGGGTTCCCCCAGGCCCTCTCCTTAACTGGCCGGAGACTGAAAAGGAAGCGTGGCTGGGGGAATTGCCCATCTCCCGACTCTCTGCGATGACCAGCAGGCTGAGAGGCATGCTCTAGTGCCCCCACCTCCTGATACGGAGCACTGCAGGGGTCTGGCTGCCTTTCTGGTTTGAAAGGTGAACATCAGTTCATTTTCTAATTGGTTCAATCTAGACAGTTTATAGAAATCTGCAAAAATTGAAATGATTCAGCCTCTGGCTTTCTGACTGTCTGTACTTAGCCCTAGTGGCTACCTTTCATGCCGCTGGGTCTGAGCTCATTAATTTCTCTTGTTCCCGAAAAGTGAGGTTTTTTGTTGGCAGGAACTTACGTGCATGCAGCAGTAACATGCCATGAACAATCTGATGTTCTTAGGTGTATGTTAATTAGTATTTTTTTCTGGCTGAATTGGATGGGTTTACAATCCTAAATGGAGCAAGTGGAGGAACTAAAGACATACTGGTTGTTGTCACTGCAGTTTCATTACCTCTCTCAGCACATACTGGAACCCTTGTATGACAGCCTGGACTTGCAGCTGAGATGTGAATATTATTTTTCAGACTTTATCTTCCATTCTGAAAATAGTGTTTTCTTAATTTAGGAACTTTGGGACTTGATAACAAAGCCTTGGTAAGCTCTCAGTTTATCTAGAGCAGAAGTATGCACTGAGCTTCATAAGTTTTAATAAGCACCTCAGTTACAATACTACTGGAAGTTCTTCAAGAATGAGCTCAAATACCTGCTGTGTAAAGACAGCATTTAAAGGTAGAAATAGACATAGGCTGGTATGTCATTTGTGCTGCCATAAAAATATATATTTTGAGTCGAATAGACATCTCTGTCCTGCATTGTGCCACAGAAGTGGCACAATAAAAGGTAGTGGCACTTTATTGCAGTGGACATCTATTTGCTCTGCGGTGGAAGAGTTCAGGCAGCCTGCATCTGCCCACATTCTCCAGCTGCTCTTGAGGGGCACCCCAGAAATTTCTACGCAGGATCAGGCCCTTTAAGCTTCAGGAGCACCTGTCCAACTTTATTCGTTTACACAGACATGCTCTGGGAATCTTCTTTGTAAGTGAGGATCTACAGAGATACACCCTAAGTGGTGAGAGCCCTCACAGGTCTCTGTAAAGGCACAGGATCCAGGGAATCAAGTGGGTGAAGAAAGAAGGCACAGGACAATGCAGGATCCCAGAGAATTTCAAGCGCCATGCGGGCACACACTGAGTCAGCATGGGTTTGGGCTTGGAGGCTCAGGATGTTGGGTATTTTCTGGGTCATCCACCTCTGCACTGGGACTCGTACTGACCCTTGCTTACCTCTGTGTGGGTTGGCACATGACCCTGGTTCCATCAAGGATGCTTGCGGCAATGAGGGATATGGGAAATTGCTGGGCAAGGGAAAAATGTTACCAGTCATCCCACATCAAATCCCTGTCTGATATGGGACAGTGGGCGATGAGTTTCATCCAATAAAGAAGATAAGCTCCAGCACAACAGGCCACACCACAGCTTGATCCACTTAGTTTGACTGTGTGTTTTTACCGTCAGTTCAATGTTGGATAAATGTAATGATGGGAAAGATCCAAAAGAGGGCACCCATGTATCAGAAATGGTTTCTCTGATTCATCACAGCAAAAGCAGTATCTAAAGGTGTCCCATGCATAAAGGAAGACAAGTGAGTTTGGGGATGATAATAATGTAAGCCATTCATAATACACAATATCAGAAGAGAAATTTGTGGACTTTTTTTCTGATTAGGAATGATTTTTTCTTACCTGCATCTAATAATTTGTCATCCAGCCAC